CCTTCAAGAAATGGAACAAGAGTGCAATCAAGAAGGCTAACCCACAGACAAAGTAAAGGCCCCAGAAACTCCTTAGCTGAAGTCTGTCCACTTCCATTGTCGCACCTTGTGAACTGCAGGCTCTTCTTAGTAACCATTTGTCATGAATCCTCTGAAGATCGCCATTCTCTGACATCTTCAAAATCGCAGTTGACATGTCAACTGCTAACGGGGAGTCCTTCGGAAATGCCTGATCAACAGACAACGATGTCAGCATGAGCAGTAAATGCAGAAAGAAAGTATGCGGAGGAAGGTGTACTCACAAAACCCCATCCATTTTTGGTGAACTGTTCCCCTACAATGCTGAATTCACATCTAGTTGAGAGGAAAAGCTCTATATAAGCACGGTCATCAACCATTGCAACAACACCGCCCTTGTGAGGACCATCTTTCAAGGCCTTAGCAAATTCCCCCGGCGAATTGAAAGGTTTGAGTCTTGATTCATCGATTCTTAGTTCATTAATTAGATAATTCAGAGTATATGAACCTTGCTGGTAGCCTATAGGATCTTTGCTTGATTGTAAAGTTTCTATGCCTTTTATAGGAGAAGAAAGCTGTTGAACTGTAAGGATAGAAGTAAGGCTTGCGGTGTAGCTAGAGTTGATTATAAGAACCACAAATAGCCATATAACTAGGACTAGGCGACCTAATCCACTAACAGTGTTTTCTTCTGCGTAAAACAGAAAAAGAAAAGGGATAATCAAGTTAAACAGAGAGACTGCTTCTTATAGTTAAGAAAAGAAGGTTGTTTCACTTACTGTGAGAAAAGAACCATGTTGAAAAACTGAACCTGCAGGATTGAAGCATAATGTTAAGTGATGAAGAAACATGGGGGAACAATGACAGAGAACAGTTGCTTAGTTGCTAACCATAGAATGGTCACCGCTTGTCTTCTAGGAGGTCCTCGGAAATCATCATTTAGCCGATGTTCTAGAATCCAGACGACTGTTCCCACAACCAGGAAGGAGACAGCTGTTACAGCCCACATACTCCGAGTGAATGGCCGTAGAAATGCCCAAGCACCCGAGTCAGTGTTCCTTACTGGTGCTACCACAACCAGTCCTGATTCTATATATGGCAGGGTAAAATCTGCCAACTTAGTTCTGTTGGTGATAATGGCAATGTCGCCTATTGCTGCGTCAAGTTCCTGCATTTGAAGAAGAAAACTGAAGGATCAGAAAGGAACAGTAAGCTCTTTCTTCCTAGTTCTGCATTGGAGATGGTTCATGACACTTACCCCTGCTGTGATCAGAGCCACCAGCTCTGTGCCACTAGGGTTGGTACGTCCATCCCCGTATGGCTTCAGTTTATACGGGACGGCATATGGGAGCAAGCTCAGGGCAGCAGTGAATACATCAATGCAGTAGCCAGTGACAGCTTGGCCGTTCACAGAGACAAATTCACGGTAACTCACACGATTTGGGACTCCAATTGTCAAATGCCTTCCACTGTTTGGGAAAATCCATCCACGAGGCTTCTCTGGTGTCTGTCCTGGCCAGATCATGCCATACAATTTTTGGTTTATGCTGGAACGATTGGAAGGCTTCGACCAAAGGGTCTCTGGAGGCAGGATTGATAATCCAGAATGGTTGGACCAGTAGCCAATCTTCCTGTACCCATTTCCAATTACATTGATGACTTCAAATGCAGGATGAATTAGGTCCCTATCCAAAGTAAACCTTACTTGGCCTGTTAAACCATTCATGCTAACCTGTAGAATGTTATCAAGCAACAGGTTCCCTCCATCAAAGATGCTCAGGGCATCAAGATGCAAGTTTCCTTTTTGGAGCTTCGATACCTGAGAATGATTTGAGAATGAAATGTTCCCTCCCTGCTTAAAAAATGCATCAAGTGCACGAGCAAGCAGCCAGACTGTGTCGTAGGCATACAGAGCATAGGCATTCAGGCCAATGGGGTGGCCATTAATCTCGTTTCCACTGGTCAAGTTGCTCCACCTGGAAATGAACTTCTTCTTGAGTTCTGACTCTGGGGTGTACATCTTCAACGTAATAACTCCTTGAATATCATCCGTTGCCTCCTGAGCAAGAGGAGAATTGGTATCCAACACAGTGGATAACCAATTTGTAGCGATCCAGACATAGCCGGTGTCCATCATGCCAAGATACTGAGCCACACTGAAAACTGTAAGACCCCAGCTTCCTGGAACATGAAGCACAAGAATTTTAGTCTCGAACAGGGCTACCTTAACCAACAAGTTAGTGATTTCAGCCCGGCTTGCATCAGGACTTAAAGCTGCTTTGTATGAGATCTTACATCGTCTCTCAGCCAGCTTATCCCCCAAAGCAGCAATGCCATTTCTCCCATGATCATCATCCTCATAAACTGCTATCACCTCTCTCCATTCATAAAAATCCACTAGTTCTGCTATCGCAGTCATCTGATAAAGATCATTCTGAGCAGTCCTGACAAAGAAGGGGAACTGAACGGGAGAAAGGGTAGGATCCGTGGATGAGAAAGATAATAGAGGGACTTGAAGAACATTTGCAAGGTGGGATATCACATGAGCCGTCACAGAAGACTGAGGACCAATTATGGCCACAATATCTTTCTCCATGAACCGTAAAGCTGCAATTGAATCAACCAAAATAAAAAAAAAAAAAAGAGGTAATTTGTGAATGAACATACAAGAACTCCATTGAATATATGATTATGAGAAGAATTAATGTGGATTACCCTCTACAATGGCAAGAAATCCACTGTAATTTGAATCCTTCATTTCCAATTTAAGCTTAGTTCCTCTAAGAATTTCTGAGTTTGAATTTATGTCTTCAACAGCTGCTTCTATTGCTATTTTTGAAACTTTTCCAATGACGGATTTGAATGCGAAAATAGCACCAATGCTTACGCTTTCTGGTCCATTGGAAACATTTGTGCTAACCCCATTTAGGGGAAACCCATTGTAGAAGAGAATTAGCACCACCAAAAGCCATACTCTAACCATGGTGACTTGTCTTGTCAACTGCTAAATATCCCTCTGATTCAAACAAGATTATTACAGCACAAATCAGTGGAAGATAAGCATAAATAAAGAAATAAAGTTCAAACCTTTCATTGTTGAAACTATGATTTGATTATAAACATATGTAAACAAAAATATTAAGCAAAACCCACGAGACCCATGAAAAAGAAAAGGTTATAAAAACACCCAGAAGATGAAAAGGGAAAGAAAGTATGAATCTAGAAACGGAGAGAACAGGGAAAGGAAGACTAATAATTGAGTCTCGAGAAAAAAAAAAAAAAGGTGAAGAGAGAAAGAAGACACTCACGGGAAACAGTGTAGATCTGTCCAAGATCGCCTTAGCATGCATAAACACGAACTATGGAATGGAATAAACCTGATCCTGGAAAACCCAGCTTAGGGTCCTGTTGGAGGGAACAAGTGATTTTAATGCAGTTGAAAACTAACCACTACAATATATCAGAAACTTCGGATAATGGAGTTGTTACATACATACCTTCCGCTCAAAAAAAAAAGTTATATACAGAAACGTTTATTTACCATCTAAAGAAATTATCATCAAAATTTTATTTATTTATTTATTTAGAATATATATAATTTAAAAGTAAAACATATAAAATTAAAACATAAAAATATAAAAATCTAAATTTTAATTATCATCAAAATATTAAATAAACTTATTAAATCACGATGCCATCATCATGTACGAAGAATATGTATAGTTGTTCTTTCTTTTCGACGTAGGAATCATTTGTTAATCTACAATAAAAAATGAATAGTTAATGAATTAAGATAAAAAAGAAAAAATAATTATTTTTTATTATACCATCAACATAAAAAAATAATAATAAAAAAACATCATTATCACGTGGGAGATGGGGAAATACACATCCTTGTCCTGTCTGAATGAAAATGCCCCGTGGTAGTGGGCAACTGGGCGAAGGTTTATGTCCTATGTGTTTTCGTTAAAATCACTCATGATAAAGATATTAACTAATCTAATTTAAATTTTTTTATTATCAAAAAAAAAAAAGATCACTCATAATAATATATTATTAATTTATAATTTGTTATATAAAAAATTTAATTGTAATTTGATTTTAATTAATTAAATAACAAATATTAATTAATTACTAATTATTTTTAATAATTAAATTAACAAAATATGAATCAAAATTATGTAACACTAATAAAAGTGTGTGTGGTCATAACCATAATAGTAGTATTGTATATTTTCGATAAATATATTTTATAATTATTAATAAAAAGTAATATCACTCTCTATATTAGTAATTATAAATATACAATTAATTATTAAATAGATTGTAAAACAATAATTTCTTTATATTATAAATTACATAATAAAAATAATGTATACAAACTATATATGTTTTATAATTATTGATAAAAAATAATATTATTGTTTATATCAATCATTTTAAAATATATAATTAGCTACTTTTTTTTTTTTTTGTATGAGCATTTGGTATTCAAAAACCCACTGAATCACCGGTTAATCCAGATTCGAGCCGGGCAGGATCCAATGAACAATAAAACTCTTGTTTACGAGTTTTAATAAAATTATATTTTCAGAATTTAAAATCCAAACATCTAATTAAATTAAAAAAGTTCCAACCAATTTATCCACCCATTCACTCGTAGTTATAATTAATTACTCAACAAATTGTAAATATACCAACACACCATCACTTTTACATTACATAAGTTATGTAATAGGATTAACTTTTTTTTTCTTGGACTTCTCTATAATTGTTTTTGAGTTTACACTCGAGAGTCAAGACCTCTTAACAAAAATTTTCAAACTTTTAATTACGGTCTAAGTTTGGTAAGAACACTTGCTTTCAGTGGTCAGTGCAAATAATTTGGTCTCTCTAAACCGACAAGAGAATTGCCTTTTTGATGAGTGTCAAGGGACCACGAATGATGGTATGTAAATGGGTTTTCAATTAATTTCCAGCCAATAGAAGTGCCTGAGCCAGAAAACAAAAAAAGGAAAAAAGAGGTTTCCAGTATTCTCAGACTCTCAGTGGCACCAATGATTCCCAGGACCATATATGGTGACGTGTTCCCACCCTCTTATTAGGTAGTGTGCACCCACATCTCCACTCACATTGATTCCCACTTCCACAAGATTAAAGCTGGTTTTAAAATCTTTATATGGATTTGCTTAACTTTTCTTGTGCATTTCTGAAGATTAAAATTTATTTTTCGTATAATGTCAATGTGAAGAGACAGAGTTACTACGAATCATCACTTATTCATAGTGGCTTCAATAATATATACTTGTTTCAAGTTGTAACATTATCTCTAGCTATAATGGTATAGCTTCAAATGCTAGTAATTGGGGATATATAATCGTCACTCATCACTAATTTGGTTAAATTCGAAACTAAGGTCGGTTAATGGTTTTGAGCTTGAGGTTTTGCTTATAACTAAACGATACTCCTTCCATTCAACAATCATCATTTTTAATTTTTAAGGTTTTTTTAATCTGTATCATAAAGGTTTAAGTTAAGAGTCTAAAAAATATTAAAAAAATAACATTTAATTTAATAACTATTTAATTAAATTTATTTTCATAATATTAATACTAAAAATAATGTTTATTTTAACATTTTTTAATATAAATTTATTGCAAAAAAAGACCTTAACTTGTGCCTTATAAGTTAGAAAAATCCTTAGTTTTATTTTTACTTTTTATTTTTTACTTCCAAAGCAAGAGATTTAAAGTGAAAATTTTAACATGTAGTATAACATATAAATATTAATTATTTTTTATATTCAATTCTTTTTAAGTAGTTTTATCTTATTAAAAAAAATTAATTATCATTCATATGTTATATTAATTTTTTTTAACTAAATTTTTTTTGTCTTAAAAGTCAAAATGACAAGTTAATATTACTAGAGTTTTTCTAACATGTATTGTTTGAGTATAGATTAAAAATGTAATAAAGACATATTTGTCATAAATTTATATTGAAAAAATAAAAGTGGACTTTTAATTTATTAATTATATAAGTAAATTCATCTATTTAATACTAATACTAAAATTAATATCAATATTTATAAATTTTATATAAATTTATAAAAAAAAATACTCTTAACATATACCTTAAAAATACAAATTAAAAAAACCCATATTACCATTATTGAACAGAGATGTATAAGATTAGCCTAGTCTACGATATGCCTTGGTGAAATTGAGAATCAGCATGAATCAAGTCACTTAAATGATTGTGTTTTATTTTTTCTTAATTTAATTTTAAATAACAAAAATAAATAAATATAGCAATATAATTAGGTCTAGATAAATTGATCATAAGATGTACTAACTTTTTAAATACCTAGATTTTAAGAACTAAGATGTACTAATTCAGGCCTCATGGGTACCCTCTCCACATTTAGATTACTATTGTTGAACAAAGGTGTATAAATGTATAAGATTAAACTAATCTAGGATACGCCTTGGTGAAATTAAGAATAACCATGAATTAACTCACTCAAATGATTATGTTTTTTTTTTTTAATTTAATTTTAAATGACAAAAAAATTTAGCAATATAGTTAAGTCCATATAAATTGATCATAACATATACACTAACTTATTACAAACCTAGTCTTTAAGAATTGAGAACATGCAAACCTGTTGGATACCCTCTCCACATTTTGAAAATGAATTATTGCTCGCAAGTCTCTCAACTTTGTCTGTGGTAGATAGTTTTAAAAAATAATTGAAATGTAATTTGAACCCTAAATTTCAAGGAGAAAATAAAAGAACTCCCTCTTTAATGTAAGAAAATGATTTCTTATTATATAACTCAGTCATAATTTTAGGCTTGGATGTATACTTTTATAAAAAAAATGCAAACTTTATATTTTTATTCCATGTCAATCTCTTCTAAGCATCTTGTATTTTTTTTTATTTAGCAATTAAAGTATCCCAAATCAATTTATATATATTTCAAAATAAATCCTTATTTAATTTAATTAAAGGTAAGCTATTTTTATCAAAACTAATAAAACCACGAAAAATTATCATCTTTCACATCTCAGAGATTTGAAGTAGGCCATCTTGTATACTTGTATTTAAATTGTACTTTTGCTTGTTATTTCTTACCATATG